TGTGATTGGCCGGTAGTGTGGCGCTGGATCGGGCGCCCATCACCACCGCGTCGTTGTTCCGAAGGCCCGGCAGTTTCGTGTAAATCGAGTGCTGGGGTCGAGCGCCGGGCGAGTGAGCAGTGGTGGGCGTCACGGGCGCCGACTTGGCGTCCGTGCCGTCGCCCACGAGACTGCTCACCGATCCCAGGGTCGGGCGCCGGTAGGAACCCGTATAGGAGGGCCGGTTAGCCATGTAGGACGAGGCGTAGAGTCCGGTGTAGGGCCGGCCCATGCCGTACATCTTGGGCGACGTGTCGGAGCCCTCGTGTTCTACAACCAGTCGCACGAACCGGTCGACGCCCGTCAGCATTGCCACCACCTGCTCGTGGGTCAGATGCTCGACGTCGGCGCCGTTGATGGACAGGACGCGATCGCCGACCGAAAGCTTGCCATCGCGATGGGCGGCGCCGCCCTCCACGATGTTCGACACGTGCACGCCCTCCGAGCCCTCCTTATAGGGCGTACCGCCGATACCGCCGGCGATACTGAAGCCAAGGCTGCCTTCTTTGCGGATGAGTGTCGTGTAAATGATCTGTCGGTTCAGGTCGTAGTCCGGCGTTTGCGGTTGAGAGGCGGCGCCGATGGAGGTCTGCCGGTGAACGCCGGGCGTCGGCGGCAGCGAACCGATGTCGCCGTTGTGATGGGCGGCCGATTGAGGCGACTTCTTGGGCGACGAACGGCGTTCGGCGACCACTGGCGTCGAGTTTGGCTGACCGACGGCTACTTCCCTCACGAGCACCACCACGAAGTCCATGCCGGCCGTCTTCAGGGCGTCGACAGCCTTGTAGTGATCTATTTCGGTGAAGTCGACGGCGTTCACCGACAATATCTTGTCGCCCACCCGGAGGCCGGCCCCCTCTGCCGGTCCCTCTTCGGTAATTCGCGACACGAATATCCCCTCGTCGTCGCCCTTATAGGGCGAGGAGCCCAGCCCTCCGGCGATGCTCAGCCCGAGTCCGCCGCCCGTCCGCCGGACCCGCACCTGCATCCGCACAAACTCAGTCGCGGCCGCGCTGTTCGTCGACGTCTGCGAGACGGACGGCGCTGCGTTCGACACCGACGACCGCAGCGACTGGTTGTCCCCATCGCCGGCGCCACCGCTCGTCACGCTGTCGGCGCCGCGCGACGTCTGCTGTCGCAGCGGATTGTGTTCCCTCTGTTTCATGGCTTCGGCCAGAATGGAGGCCACCCTCTGCTGCTCGTCGCGCGACGCGTGGATCCGTTTGTTCTTCAGGTGATGAGGAGTGTCTCTGCGGTGGAGTTTGTTGTGCCACTCCTGGCGCTCCTCGTCCTCGTCCTCCACCCCCTCGACGGCCTCTTCGCCGTCCTCCTCGAAGCCCGAGAAGCCCACGTGTCGGTCGGCTGAGCCGGTGTTCACGCCGTGATCGTCGCTACAG